CTAATGCCGTCTGTTTTATGCATAAGCAGCCCCATGCTTTGTTCAGGTATGTCACAGTTTTCCACGCCGTCATCAGTCCTGATGGTCGATCCATCAAACCTCAGCTCATCTACACGGAGCAGCACTGATGCAGTCTGCAGCACTCAGCCCCAAAGTGAGAAAATAACACACATCTCTTAACACCAGGAAGACCAAGGACATGGTGATCAACTTCAGGAGTAGAGCCCCGCCTCACTCCCCCCTCCAGGGGCAGAACATAGAAACTGTGGAGAGTTTCTAATCCCTGGGTGTTCATGTCAACAATAACCTGAGCTGCACTCATAACACTGACACCCTTTATAATAAGGACCAGAGCCTCCACCTCCTGAGGAGACTGAGGTCCTTTGGAGTGAGCAGGCCCCTGCTTCAAACCTCCTATGACTCTGTGGTGACATCAGTCCTCCTCTGTCGTCTGCTGGTTCCATGGCAGCACAGAGCAGGACAGAAAGAGACTGAATGACCTGTTGAGGAAGGCTGTTTCTATCCTAGGCTGCACTGTGGACTCAGTGGAGGAAGTGGCAGAGAGGAGGGTGCTGTCCAAGCTTCCATCCATCATGGAGAACACCTTCCACCCTCTGCACCAGACTGTAGAGGAGCTGAGCAGCTCCTTCAGTCAAAGACTTTTACATCCTGTTTGTAGAAAGGAGCGCTGCTGCAGGTCATTCATCCCTGCTGCAACCAGACTCTACAATTCAACACTATAACGGCAATAACGTGTGCAATGTATAATGTGCATTTTACCATTTGATACCCTGTGCAATAACTGTATATATAATTATAAATATCCATCCATCCATCCATCCATCGTTTTCTCCCACTGACCCCTTGTCAGGGTGGCGGTGGGCCTGGTGCCGTTTTCTCTAACAGTCTATGGGGAAGTGGGGGGGTCACCATGGACAGGCTGCTAGTCTGTCACAGAATATAAGTACATTTTGTTGAAATTAGTTTATTTCTCTTGATTTAAATTACATGATTTACCTTTAAAATGAAGAAAAATCCAGAAAACCTCTATTATCTCATCCCAACCACTCAATATCTAATTATCTTATTTTAAGAACTGAAAAAAACTCAGATCATCTTATTTATCTGTTCAAATTAAGTGAAAATTATTAACTTACTTTAAGAAATCTTAACTTATTTTTTGATCAGCTTTTTTAGTGTCCAAAAACCTCATTTGTATTTTTAAAGTGTGTAAACTATTGATCTCCAGAAAAAAATGGAGGGTTTGTTCATTTTATGGACCTATTATTACTGATTTTTTGTTTTATTTTCTTTACATTATAGCAATTGTATTTGTGATTCAGTAATTACTACCAGACACTTTGGTTAAAGGAGACAATTTTTTATGTTTAAATACATTTGGAATTGAAATAATTAGAAATAAACTTTCTCATCCAAGCATTCTTTTCTCTAATGTTCCTTTACTTTTTCAGAAACACATCCTGTATTCATGTTATTGTTTCATCCATTTTCGCTACTGGATGATTTTCTGAGGGAGTTTTTCTATTTACAGGTCTGCTCAGTCCTTTCTCTTTGAAACAGATTTAAGATGGACTTCTCTGTAGTAAAATTTTTAAAAACCTTAAGTGGGGGTAATAATTCAGAATGTGTAAAATTCCACGGGTAAAATTTTCACCAGCAGGTGGAGCCATTGCGCACAGCTCCAAGCTGACACCAAAAGGTCAAAGCCCCACAGCTCTGGAACTGTTACAGCTGGAGGTCTGAAATTTTCTGCATGTGTGGTTGACATGATGTAGAACAAATATAATAAAACCTGCTTTTTCTGAAGAATGTATTTTTTTACTGCTGTTAAAAAAAGACCTATCATTTCCGAGAATAAAAAAACAACTTCGAGTCATGTTTGAACTGATTCAAATTGGTCTGTGTTCTACTCACCCAATTTATATATTAGGAAACTAGAGGGTGTTAGCTTTCAAATAATGTATTGCACATGTATTTGGGCTTACAGTTCCTAAATTCTTTGCTTTTCCATTTGGGTCTGCAAAATAGGCGAGGATTACCCATAATGAGGTGGATGTTAAGAGGTTATAATGATTCAGGAGAGACTAAAGCAGATTTATCTTCTCCTCTGGATGCATTTTGAATGCAGGACTGATCAAGATTAGCATTTATTTTGAATCATTTTGCAAAGAGGAATATTTAAATACAGTTAAAGTTTAGCTTCCAACGCTCGGCTGAGCCGGAAATAAATAAAATATTTTGAATCCGACCACCTTCAACTACTAGTTTCATTTTCCGGTGGAAAAGAAAAGGAACATTACTGCCCTCTAGTGGACAGAAAGCTTAGCAAAACAGTCTCTACTCTTAAACAAACAACATAAACAATAAAACTGTTCTATAAATCAGATTTAGAAGTTCTGAACACAGAAAAAAAAAAAACCTGCATTACACACAGAGATCATGTGGAGAGCATGCATGTTTAATATTTACTGTAAATAGTCAGATTACAAACCAAGTATCAACACAATGAGTGTTCATCTGTGAATACAGTCAAAACCCTTATAAGTGACATTTGCATATTAATAACATAAATATAAAGTCATGATACATCAAATTATTTCCTCTCTGTGACCAGAGGCTCACCTAAGGAGAATCAGCATGTTCGTTCCTCCTTAACACTCTGCCTGACTAAACAGTTCATTCACCTTTTCTACACTCGGTCAGCCACAGACCTCAGGGTCAGGCTCAGGGATGTCATGTGATCGACCAACGCAGCGCGCAGAAACGTGGAGCAGAAGGAACATAAATAAAGTGAACAGAATCACCCAGTTTAGGTTCATTAGATCTCGGTTTTCTGGCCTCAGAAGCGTCTCAGTGAACACTGGTGAACCAACAGGGTTAGAAACCAGACGTTCAGCCAGAGCGGCAGTGGAATGGCTGTTATCCTCCTCTGGTGCTGGAATGATCTCCAGTGGTAAATAAACATCCAGTCCAGCACCAGTTAGGATAGTTCAGTCAAAGTTCAGCCTTTAATCCAATAAAAAAACTTTGGCAAGGATTAAAAATAGGTGATCTGCAGTCTGCTTTCAGTGTTTAGTCCTGTTTCTCTCCTAGAGATATGAGCTCAGCTTTAACTGTGACTCCCTATCATCCCTTTAAAGCCAATTATGGAGCTAGTTTACCCTCACCTTCTCTAACATAGAAAGTATTTATAGATCAGTGCTTCTATGTTCTTTTTCTATGTCTGCTTCTGTTTTTTTGAACCCCAGTCGGCCTCAGCAGAAGCTGCCCCTCTGACTCTGGTTCTGGTTCAGCTGGAGGTTTCTCCTCTCCAATGTGAACCAGATGTTTTTAATCTTTCTGCTCTGAATGAATCCCTCTTTGGTGGTGAATACAGGGAAACAGAAAAAAACAGCAAAAAATTTTCTGTTTTAACTAAAAGCTCTGGGGCTAAAACATAAGCATGCCGCACTCTTCAGATTTGTCTTCCCTCTAGTTCACCGTTCTGCTCTATGCTGAGTTGGTCTACTACATGACACTGTGTTACTGAACCAGTGTGAGGTGTGGAAACCTTCACTGCTTCCTAATGAGACTCACTCAAATGGCTCACATGCATAACGATCCTTCCAGATCCAGATTGCACTCTGTCCCAGGCCTTCTGGCAAACATATTCACGTATTCATAAGGAAATATGTTCAAAATGACCCACAAACCGCCTTACACTGAAAACTTACAACTTCACCGCTGAAAAGTGTTTTTTTTTTATTATTTCATTGTTTTATAGAAAAAAGGAAAAGCGAGTCAGCAGTGAACCGTGATGATTTCACGTCAGGACATCCTGACGACCGTCTGTGGGCAGAAATGAAGTGTGTCCTCTGAGCAGGAGCTGAATCGACGCCCTCGGCTCGTGATCCTCCTGTTTCAGACTTTTGTCACATTGAAGTTTTTCCTATGAAGCTTTAAAACCAACCAAACAGAAAATAAAAAAGAAACTACAAAAAAAACCAGGAGAATCCAGTTCTTAAAAAGCATACACTTAGATAACAGGAACAACATTAGTACTGTAATTAATATTGTTTATATTCTTCTAACGGCTATCGTTATCAAACACTAATAAGCAGCCGGTCACAAGGGTTCAGGCCGACAGCCTGATCTGAAGAAAACAAAACTAAAAACAAAAGAGAAGTGACATGCAGATGCTCTCTTCATCCTCCTCATCATCGTTGGCACCATGGATGCAGTAAAGTTTTCACATTATTTCGTCCTTCTGTCGGCTCAGTTTGGAGGAGCTCTGCTTGCTCCTCGGACTGTTTTGGCACACGGTCCGCTTGGCTTCAGGAGAACTGGTTGGAGGATGGATGGTGTCAGGGTGCAGCCATGTTTCAGTGTGTACTCCATGTACAGTAAACAGTGTGAGTGTGTCCGCTTGTGTTGGCTTTAAAAAAGAGGAGCAACTCCTCTCATATTTACAGAAATAAAATGTTTACTGAGGTGCATGACGGAAAAACAAAAACCAAGTCCTCTGTGGCTCTGAGGGATTCCCACAGTCAGGACCTGTGATGTCATCAGAGCCTAGTCACTAACCGAATGGTTGCAAAGATGCTTTTTCCCTCCAGATTTTAAAACAATAATAATAATAAAACATTGAACTCTACCAGTAAAGTTCAGAATGTACAATAAACTAGATCAAATATCATTTTCCATTTTTACGTCTTTATATCTTTCTACTAAAAGCATCAGGACTGTGGTACATGTGCACTGCTCCTCCTCTTCTCATCACTCATTCAATATAGTATCATCTTAAATGCATTAAGTCGATAAAATAAACTCTGTTCTAAAATACTCTATTCTGGTTTCCTGTAGCCTGGTCTG